TTTCCATCTGCATCAGGTTAAGCGCACTTACAGCACAATTTTAATAAAATAAGAAGGGAAAATGAAGCATTTAATTATTGCTTAACTGGAGATTACTCTTTTTAGATTTTCAGTTGCTGATTATCCTTGCATATAGGAAGGCAGAATTGTCTTCTCAAGAGTATATTGTCACAGAGCCTTGAACATTGTCCTTCTAAGATCTTTTTTCAAAATTTCATGGTTCAAACAGAAGCTCTCTGTTGAGTTCCCTACATTTGTAAATTGCAGAACAGGCACTGTCGTGGCTGAAGTGTCTGCTAATTGCCAGAGGTGCTAAAAGTCCCTCTCCATCTTCAGAAGCCCATGTTATCAATAGCATCCAAGATGAAGAGAACAGAAGAAACAACAGGCTAGAAGGGAGACAATAGGACTCTTTAACCAAATGGTTAACCAAAGGATAGAGATGTTAAGTCTCTATCCACTCAAGTCTATAGAAAAACCCTATAATAGGAGTCTTCCAGAGGCTGATATACTCACAGCCCAGGGCACTGTATCTTCCCCAATGGGACTCTAAGTGATTCATCCCTGAGGAAGGTTCAGAAGCAGTCAGGACAGGGCCACCAGGTGTTCTGGTGGAAGGGAACTTGCAATATGTTGAGTTTTTACAATTTAAACTCTGTACATCAAGGGAAATACAAACCTGTTGGGGTCAAACAGGGCATCACGGCCTTGGTGAAAAGAATTGCTGGCATTTCCATTTTCAAATTAAGCAAGGCTCAGCCCTAGGTTCTCTTGAAATACTGCAATCTCAAAATGGTATGAGGAATTGAATGTTGCAGGAAAGAAAGCCAGCTTCAAATTGATTTGTTCCAAGTCTAGAAAAGCTTGTGGCCTGGTTTTACGATCAAACGATTGTTTTAAGGTTGCATAGAGCTTACTGGAGGATGTGTTTCCTTTATAATTACCTCATAAGGATGTAGATTGGGGTGAAGAATAAGAAAAGTGTGAAAAATATAAGATTACCATTTCAATGTAGCTTTCTTCCTCTTCTCTGGAAACAGGATTAGCAAAAAATCTTGCAGAATTAATACCATTTCTTTCTGGAGAGAGAAAGCTGGTTCGACTGCTAAGAATAAAAATATAGATGAGGTCAAAGCAATGTCTTACAGCTGCTCTGAAAGCCAGCCAGGAACTAACGTGGCCCCCATGGGGTTTCGGCCCTCCCCTTCCAGACACAACTTCTTTCCGGCCAAAGCAATTCCTGAAGAAGCAGAAACTGCCCAACAGTTTCTGCCCCACTCTGGGGCAAATGGCTCCCAATTCACAAAGGCTGCTTTTTTTCCCAGCCTGTCTATGTGACACAGCTCAGGAGCTTTCTAAACAGATGAAGGCATCATATCATTTAGCGAAAAATCACTCCTTTGGGGCCTTCTTGTTTCTATTCAACGTAAGGAAAAGTGAGGAAGTATGGCCATTCCTCTGACAGGACAAGAAGACTGCTCATCAACTTCTATCCTTCTCCTGTGTCAGAAGTATGGACTGAGTCACTGTCTTGGCTGGAAATACAGCTCATTACAGAATTCTGCTTTACAATGCAATTGTGTTTTGTAGCATTTAGAGTGAACCGAGAAACTCCTGAGCCAAGCTCAGGAGTAAAAATGCAACTTCTAAAAGGTGAGGTGAAAGGGTGCAATTACATTTTGAAGTCTGTCTACCCAGCCCATGAATCTGGGAACTCCCTCGTCCTACCCCATTCACAAAGCTGGGCTTGGGCCGTAGCCGATTCCACTGAGACCGGGGAACACAATTCTCTCTCCCCAGGAAATCTGAATTGGGATTGAAAAAGAGCCCATCTTTGGTACTAGAATTGTAGCACGTAAACAAGTTCAGGAGGTATGGTACAGCTATCTTTGACCATGAGGATTGTGCAACAGAGAAAAGAATACTGCAAAGACAAAGGAATGCACAGATGTGAAGAGTGAAGCAGATGTGAGCAGATTCCTTGGGTTCCCAACAGCACACTAGTTCCTGATTCCATAATCCTGGGAGACCCAGTCATATTCCTTCCTTTGTGATCTATAAAACATCTCTTGCTCTCAATAATAAGCCTTACCCTTCCTTTGGCTTAAACTAGATCAAGTGGGCTTCAACTGCATTTAATCAGAGGCCTACCACACACCAGGGGTGTTTGGGCTGGATGAGGCTCTTTTGAGCAATCAGAGTCTTACCAAGGCACAGTGCGGGTCCTGGTAAGAGATGCATGTTCCCGGATGGTGGAGAGATTTCTCAGGTCCAAGGGAGGTGGCCGTGCTACAAGACAGTGTGCAACATCCAGGAGGTCAAGGCTAGAATTTAAAGGCTGTGAAACTACTACATTTCACTTTTCTAGTACAGCAAATCACATTTACTAACAGGCAGCACTGATGATGAGTGTGAATTTTACTGTCCTCTTTCCTGCCTCACTGGGAGTAAAGACAAATGCTGAGCAAATGGCCACATTACCTGCTGTAGGTAACAATGTAGCAATGCATTATTAAGTCTCTGTATATCATGCATGCTTCTAGCTGTCAAGGGCACAGGATGAACAAAGCAGATGAAAGTCTCTGATCTTGTGGAATTGCAACACCTATCTCACACTTGATGTGTCTGAAGTGGAAATGTTATCTTTCTTATCACAGGAAGAGATGATCACCCAGGTCCTAGTCTTCCACACCTACAATCCATTGTGCACCTGATGATCCTTCTGTCTAGAACATTCTTCCCCATTTCTTTGCCTCCAGACCAGATCAGGCCCCACACCACGGGCTCTCAAGTTCTTGTACTTACCTTTTACAGCACTCCCCCAGTTTGTGATGATACATTCATCTATGATTGATCTGGGCCTAGACCATGCTCCAGGAGTACAGGGGCACATCTGTTTGTTCACTGCAGTAGCCTTGGTATCTGCGCTGACCCTTATTCCACCTCAGTGGTCCATCTTCCTGAGTTAGTCCTGACCTAGGTATCCACCTTTGCATGGACCTTTGTTAGGGATGCAGCCAAAGAGCCCTCTGGAATGAGTTGGTTTTGTCAGCTGTATTTGCAGGGCCACAGTGCCTGTACATACCCCAACTCCTATTATCATGACAATCTGGGGCAGGAAGATGTCCCACCCCTTCCTATTCCATCCCAGCCACTTCGTTCCTGACCTGATACTTTCCAACCCTCAGGGGTGGTTTCTCTAGGTCTTCCTTTCCAGAAACTTTTTCTATGCAACCACCAGAACCTTGCTCCCCTGGTCAAGTGCTTACATTTCCTCTGAGGCTTGAGATCTCTATTCACTGGGGGAGGTTCCAGGTCTGCAGGTAGCTCAGGCAGTGGGCTTGAGATGCTTCCTGAGCTCATTGGAATGTAGTCATCAGGGCTGCAGTGGGTTCCAAGACCACAGGCAACGGCCTGGGGGCTCATCGGCATATAGCTGTCTTCGGTACTGGTTGAAGCTGTGGGGTACGTTGGGGAGAACCTGCATGGCTGCAAAAGAATAGATACAGATTGGGAACCACAGACCAGTCATAGAAACTGCTATCAGAGGACGGCCAAGGTTGCACATATGGTTTCAGTTCCAAATTATCCAAGTATAACTCTGAACTTCCTCAGGAAAGTCAGACAAGCCTCTAGCTCAAGTTCTGCCTCTGGACTTACCATTTTAGTATAGGCGATAACTCTTCAAGATCTGACACTGGAAGACAGAAGGTTATGAATTTATGCAAATGCTTTAAGTATAAAGTGATGCCTTAAGTAGCTATACCAAATTGAGCAGGTGTCTGAACCATTAGAACCAACAAGGCTCTTATGGAACACCAAGTCCCATAGTTCTCAAATGAGTTCAAGTCTTCAGGGAAGACTAGAAGAGTCCTCAGGGACTCAGAGTGCTGAATCTTAAAGATTTCAAGGGAATATATACACATCAGGCTATTTTAGTAAAATCGATGCTTAAAGGAACCTGCGTGAACTTACCAAATTTAAACTAAGCCGCTTGTCTCGGTGTCTTAAGGATTGGCCTTCTACATCAGCTGCAAGAAATAAGCCAAGGTGGTGAGAAATGCAGGACAACATCAACTGAAACTAGAGTCCAAGTCCCTATGTATGCTAAGGACCTGTGCTCAGCTCGAGAGAGGCAGAGAAGCATAACACATATACACAATGCTTGCTATTGGAGTCTAGCTGGGCAGTCAGAACACATTTCCCCAACAGATGAAAAATCAGACCGGAATTTGAAGAAGTTTGTAGCTGATGGCTTGAGCTCTCTCTGTGAATTAGGAGAAAACGTAGCAAGTAATTAACAGATGCTTGTTTAATTTATTACATAAATCTTCTAAACTGAAGGCAGAGCTGGAGGTTTGAGGAGAGGAGAGAAGGTTTGAGATATTCTTTGTAATGAGGAAGAGAACAGGGTGAACGGAGAAATGATTGCCTTGTGGAGCAGCATTAAGGGCCCAATTGAGGTCTGTGACCATGAATTAGTGACTGGGATTTTCTACAGAAAAACTACTAGAAAGAACAGTTGGCTGTGATAAAGGGTATGATACAAAAATTTAGAATAATTGTTGAAGTTGAAGAGGAGATGTTCAGAAGGCAGAAAGACACCTGGGCCTAGATGCAAATGAGATATAATTTGGGGGAATTTAGCAGCTTGGAGATGACAGTCAAAACCATAAGAGTAGATGAAACTAGGTTGCAAGTGTTGAGAAAAGGACAAAACTATAGAGAATCCTAAGATTCAAAGAAATAAGAGGTAAGTCAGTGAAGTATCTTGAGAAAGAGCAACCATGGATTAATGAGGAAACTTGGGGGACATGCTACTTCATAGAAAGAGCAACTACTCCATAGGTAGAGAAAGAAAGAAAGAAAGAAAGGAAAGAAAGAAAGAAAGAAAGAAAAAGAAAGAAAGATAGAAACTGAGATTGTGCCACAGTACTCCAGTCTGGTGACAGAGTGAGACTCCATCCACTCCATCTCAAACAAACAAACAAACAAACAAACAAAAATAAAAATTAAGCTGGGCACGGTGGCTCACACCTGGAATCCCAGCACTCTGGGAGACTGAGGTGGGTGGATCACGAGGTCAGGAGTTCGAGACCAGCCTGAGCAACATAATGAAACCCCATCTCAACTAAAAATACAAAAAATTAGCCGGATGTGTTGGTGTGCACCTGTAATCCCAGCTACTCAGGAGGCTGAGGCAGGAGAATTGCATTAACCCGGGAGGCAGAGGTTGCAGTGAGCCGAGATTGCACCATTGCACTCCAGCCTGGGCAACAGTGTGAAAAGTCAGGCAGCCTCTAAGAAATAAACTTAAAATCTGACATCATCTTAAAATGCAAGGACAACTCCCAGTTCAGAAAAATGTGACAGAGACAGATGGAATTAAGCATATATATTATATATACATATATGTGTATGTATATATGGATATATCTATGCTTACATGTTTGTAAAGATGTATAAGTACTGGTTAAAAACTACTCTGAAGTCAGACTGTCTAGTTTTAAATCCCTACACCACCATATATTAGCCGTGTGACACTAGAAAAGTTACTTACCATCTCTGTGTCTCAGTTTCCTAATTTGTAAAATGAAGCCAATAATAGAACCTATTTCATAGGACTTCTGGAAAGGCTAGATGTGTTGGTGCATGTAAAGGACTTAGAACACTGCCTAGAACACAGAAAGTACATAATAACGCTTAGAAATTATAATGGAATAATTTCTCATTGTGAGACTTGCATGTGTGAGCATAGCCCCTAACTCCCTTTCCACTATGAGACTCTTTTGAAGTCACCAAAGAATATAAACATAGAGAAAACCCTGAATCAAAGGCATAGGTGTAACCCATGTGCCAGATACATTAAAGATTTATGACGGATAGAATGCAGATGGGATTAGAGTAAAGGAAAGCCCTTTTTCTCTTACATGGCAGCGTTTGTCGCAAGCTTCCTGAAGTGCCTTGGGCCTTACAGGAACACAGGCAGACAGTACCCCCCATTGCCTGGGGTGGTTGTAGCTGTGGAGTGAGGCTCCTCTGCCTTTGGAAAGGGAAGGGAAAAGTGGGAAGAACTGTGTCCTGTGGTTAGAGTGCCAGTTAAGCCTCAGTACAATAAAACACTAAGTGACTTCTAAGGTTTCTGAAGCTCCTGGACAGCATCTCTGGACCCACTCAGAGACTGGGGGATTTAGCTACCCTGAAGAAAAGGACACAGGCCTGGCTATCTTTGCCACCTGCTGCTTGTAGAGCCTTCAGGGCCTTGATCAAACACAAGCAGAAGCCAGGGAGTGGTTACAGCAAGCCTTGGGTGAGACCCAGTGCTGTGCTGGCTTCAGATCTGACACAGCACAATCCTAGGACCGGTGGCCACAGGGGTGCTTGTGTCACTCCACCCCCAGATGGCTCAGAACAGAGAGAAAGAGATACTGTTTGTTTGGGAGAAAGTAAGGGAAGCCTCCACCTGGTAATCAAGACCATCAAGGCAGTATGTCTACAAGCCTGCAAGAACCACAGGATTACTGGGCCTGTGGTTCCCCACTAAAGCAGATACAGCTGAGATGACAACAGCCAGTTTCTTTTGAATATCTACAAAGCCTTCCCAAGAAGGACAGGTACAAACAAGCCCAGATAGTGAAAACTACAATAAATACCAAACTCTTCAATGTCCAGACATCAAGGAACATCTACTAGGATCAACACCACCCAGGAAAACATGACCTTACCCAATAAACTAAATAAGGCACCAGGGATCAATCCTGGAGCAAAAGAGATATGTGCCCTTTCAGTCAGAGAATTCAAAATAGCTGTACTGAGGAAATTCAAAGAAATTCAAGATAACACAGAGAGGGGATTCAGAATTCTACAAGATAAATTTAACACAGAGATGGAAATAATTACAAGGAATCAAGCAGAAATTCTGGAGCTGAAAAATGCCACTGGCCTACAGAATACATCAATGTCTCTTAATAACAGAATTGATCAAGCAGAAAAAAGAATTAGTGAGCTTGAAGAGAGGCTATTTGAAATACACAGAGTAGGCAAAAGAAAAAAGAATAAAGAAGAATGAAGCACACCTACAAGATCTAGAAGTAGCCTCAAAAGGGTAAATAATCTAAGAGTTACTGGCCTTAAAGAGGAGGTAGAGAAAGAGCAACATTCAAGTATAAGAAGGTTATAGAACACAAATCGGGTTTAACCTAAATAAGACTATCTCAAGGCATTTAATAATCAAACTCCGAAAGGTCAAGGATCAAGAAAGGATCCGAAAAGCAGCAAGAGAAAAGAAACAAATAACATACAATGGGGCTCCAATACATATGGCAGCAGACTTTTTAGTGAAAACCTTACAAGCCAGTAGATAGTGGCATGACATATTTAAAGTGTTGAAGGGAAAAATTTTTACCCTAGAATAGTATATCCCACAAAAAATATCCTTCAAACATGAAGGAGAAATAAAGACTTTCCCAGACAAATAAAAACTGAAGGATTCCATCAACACCAAATCTGTCCTTCAAGAAATGCTAAAAGGAGTCCTCCAATCAGAAAGAAAAGAATGTTACAGAGCAATAAGTAATCATCTAGAGGTACAAAACTCACTGGTAATAGTAAGTAAACCAAAAAATGCAGAATATTGTAACACTGTAACTGTGCTATGTGAACTACTCTTATCCTAAGTGGAAGCATTAAACAATGAATCTATCAAAAATAATAACTACAACAACTTTTCAAGACATAAACAGTACAATAAGATGTAAATAGAAAAAACAAAAAATTGAACACCAAGGGTACAAAGTTAAAGCATAGAGTGTATGTTAGGTTCATTTCACTTGTTTGTTTATGCAAGCAGTATTAAGTTGTTGCCAGGTTAAAATAATGGATTATAAGGTAGTATTTGCAAGCCTTGTGATAGCTTCAAACCAAAAAACATATAATGTATACACAGAAAGTAAAAAGCAAGAAACTAGGTCATATCACCAGAGAAAATCACATTCACTAAAGGAAGACAAGAAGTAAAGAAATAAAGAAGAGAACACCACAAAACAACCAGAAAACAAATAACAAAATGGCAAGAGTAAATCCTTACTTAATAACATTGAATGTAAATGAACTTAACTCTTAAATCAAAAGATATAGAGTGGCCTTTTTCATCCAAAGGATGAAAAAAACAAAACCATTGATCTGTTACTTATAAGAAACACACTTCACCTATAAAGACACACCATGCCTATGGAAAACAAAAAAGAGCAGGAGTCACTATACTTGTATTAGACAAAATAGATTTCAAGACAAAAACTAAAGAAGAGACAAAGAAGGTCACTATATAATGATAAAGGGTTCAATTTAGCAAGAGGATATAACAATTTTAAATATGTATGCCATGAGTGCTGGCACATCCAGATATATAAAGCAAATAATATTATAACTAAAGAGAGAAACAAACCACAATACAATAAGAGCTGGAGACTAACATCCCACTTTTAGCATTGGACAGATCTTCCTGACAGAAAATTAACAAAGAAACATTGGGCTTAACCTACACTAGACCAAATGGATCTAATAGATATTTACAGAACATTTCATCCAAGAGCTGCAGAGTACACATTCTTTTCCGCATCACAAGGATCATTCTCAAGGATAGACCATATGTTAGGTCACAAAACATGCCTTAAAACATTCAAAAATTGAAATAATACCCAGCATCTTCTCTGAAAACAGTGGAATAAAATTAGAAATCAATAACAAGAGGGATTTTGGAAACTATGGAAATTTTAAAATATGCTCCTGAATGACCAGTGAGTCAATGAAAAAATTAAGAAGGAAATTGAAAAATATTATTGAAACAAATGATAATGGAAACACAACATACCAAAACCTATGGGATGCAGCAAAAGCAGTATTAAGAAGGAAATTTGTAGCGCTAAGGGCCTACATAAAAAAAAGAGGAAAAATTTCAAATGAACAATCTAACCACGCATTTTAAAGAACTAGAAATAGAAATTCCATTTGACCCAGCAATCCCATTACTGGG